ACTTACTAAGAGGACAATTCTGACATACCAAAAAATACAGGCAAAGAAAACAAAGGTGAAGCAGCTCACCATAAAGGCTATGACTAAATGCAGTGAAGAACATGATGAAGAGTATTACATGCAGATAGGTTATTTAGATTCCAATGGTCTGGATCCTGCCTGCTTGATACTGTTATGAGTACTTCACTGGGATTAGTTCCATCTTAGGAGCTTGCATGATCAATTTAATGTATGTGTGTGTATGATTTCATTTCCAGAATCCTGTCAGTTGTATTGAGTAGACTTTTTCTTCCCAGGAGACTCAGTGGCAATGGGAAGAACTTGTTGCCCCCTGGCATAAGTAAGGTTGCTCAACTTTAATGCATGAAGCTGTGCAGGATTTACCCAAATCTTGCTTCAGGCACAAACTTGAAGGTATAATCTTGTGGTGACAGACTAGTTAGAAAAGAGGGTGACTACAAGCTCTTCTACAGCTGCAATCTCCTCCTCTTCTTTCTTGCTACCTAACGCCTACATGAGTTGAATGGCTTAGGTGGATTTGCTCTCTACTAGTGGTATCTAGGATACTCTTAAAGTTATGTTATGAGAGGTTCTCAAAACCAGGTGACATATGTATGTAGTGGGTCCTTTAATGACATCAAATGCACAAAAAGTATGCTTTAGAATTACGCTGTTTTGAATTCTGTGTGATCAAATTAATTGCAGTAGCACAATAATGAATTTGAACCTCTGTGCCCATTATCTCATCACTTGGTTCTATAAAAGTATAGATGTTAAGAGTGTTGAGAGGAAGCAAGGAGGCCCATTTTGGGTGGCAGCAAGACAGAACTATCATGCCTGTATTTTGAGTAGAGTACAGTTGTTAGGCTTCTACACGACACTATTCAATTCAATCAGACCACTTAGTTAAAAAGAAAAAAACCCTTGGGGTGTGGCAAAATGAGAGTAACACTTTAGATCTCAGACACTGACCAGATTTATGCAATCAAAATAAGTTTGACTTATAAACAAGCGAGTCAACCACATGCAAGACACAATTTCCATAATCATTGCCAAGAGGTTTCTTTTCATGTCATCTAATCTCAGACAACATTATGGAAATCATGCCCAGCACAAACCCAGCACATGCCATGATTTAAAAAGCTGTAAAGGTTTATTTTGATGGTATAAACCAGTCCAGTCAGTTTCAGTCATACCTCCTATGACTACTTTTGGATCAGAGACAGCACTTGAGTTCCTCAGCAAGAAGGATGTGAGTTCTGTTAGTCTCAAGCACTATTTTCAGCAGTAACATACAATAACTGGAAACAAAATAGTGCTACTTCTTTCCATATATACCTGAATGGAAATTTCTTAAGTAATTTTTGATAATGCAGTCTTTGGCTGAGGGCAGGTGGGCATGTGTGTAGCTACATGTGGAATCCAATCCTATGTAATGGAAAAACCACATAGCAATGCCTCCGATTAGCAGAGACCTGTTTGAGTTAGGGTGTCATGATTGTCCAATGTGAACTGAGAAGCCTCTCCTAACTGAATCATCCGAGAAATGCTCATATATCAGATTTTTCATTTAAAGAAATAATAAGAGTATTCCATCTGTTCTCATGTACCACCAATTAATTGCACTAAACTGCACCATAGTGTACAAGCAGGCAGCATCTTAACTAGAATATGTGCATTAAAATAACAAAAAAAAAAAAAATTAAAAGGCATGCAGGATGCATGTCAGTATCTAAAAGTAGCCTTCTTTAGAAACAACTTTAATTCACCCATTTTATTTATATTAAGCAGTTGGAGTCAAGAAAAGTTTATTTTATGAAAGTTGTTGAAACTGGATGGTGGCAAAACTGTGGAAGAAACTGTTCTCAAGCTGCCATCAAAGCCTTTCAACATTTTTATTTATTTTTATTTATTAAAATATTTCTATGCCGCCCCATTCGCCGAAGCCTCGGGGCGGCTCACAACATAAAATTAAAATACAAGAAATAACAATATAAAATAAGTCGCCCTGGCGACTTATTGTCCACTTGGATCGAATACAATCAATGTCAGAGTTCCATAATTGCCATATGAATTGCGTGCTTGAGCATGATACTGAATCTATAATATTTAGGAATAAAAAATATATAATATTGTAGATAATGCTAGGATAATGGAACCTTTCCACCAGTGGCCAGTAATACTTTCCTCTTCTATTTGGCTACCCCTGAACACTAAAATCATCTACAGTCAATACAATTTCTTTGTATGACTCACACTGGTTTGACAGCAGCTGATGCCGTCTTGTGAACAGGAATTAAGCTTAGAAAACCTGGTAACATTAGCTGCAACATTAACTTTGCAGTCTATACAAAGTATCCTTTTCTTTGCAATAAGAAAAGAATGGCAGAAAACAATTTTCGTCTGTAAAATTTCCAGTGAAAACTCCGAGAACTCTGGGAATGGTGCTGCATGGCACACTCTTTTGGATGGCACTGGTGATACAAATGCTGAACATTCACAGAAGCATTAAAAATCTAAAGTAATAATGGATAGGAATTAATAATAATAATAGAAATAATAATTACTATTACATTTTTATACTCCCCATAGCTGAAGCTTTCTTTCCATACATGCAAAAAACCATTGCTCAAATTATGTACTTAATTAAAAAGCTTAATGCAGTAGAGTGCTTACAATTTTGCACTCATGTAAAGTTTCTCTAAAGAAGGCTGATGAAAGAGTGACAGGAACAAGACCAAGCCATGGGAACAAACCAATTAAAAGGGATAAGAGGTTGATGCAGGAAAGCCCCCATCGGCAGCACTGAGACATTCAAGTCGCTCTCCTCCAAGCAGACACACATTCCATCAATGCATCCAAGCTTAATCCCATTCCAAACTTCATACTGAATGCAACACACTCGATTGACCACACAGCTCCAAACAAGTCTTTACTGCTTCTATGCCTCCCTCCCAAAGAGAAGGGCAGGAGACAATGTTAAGATTCACACATACCCTATAAGGAAGGAAAAGGCAACCTGGTACCTTTCTGATGCTTTGGATTACTAATCTCATAATCCCTGACCACAGGCCATGCTGTCTGGGCCTTATGGGAGTTGCAGTCCAAAACATCTGAAGGGCCGTAGGTTGCTTACTCCTGCTATTCAGAATTAAAAAACGAATATATGCTGCTTTGATTTGATGAACTAATCAATTTAATGACATAGTACAAGGAAATATGTACTTCTCCCTACCAAATTACTGGAGAATTATTTCTCATATACCTTACTTCATACATTAGCTTCCTGTTGCAGTCAAACTTAGGTAAGAAGTTTGAACACATGATCCATCTTTGTCCTTGTGTCCAGTGCCAACAGGCATAACACACGTGTGTGTGTGTGTGGGGGGGGGGGGGAGAGAGAGAGAGACAGAGAGAGAGAGAGACAGAGAGAGAGAGAGACAGAGAGAGAGAGAGACAGAGAGAGAGAGAGAGAGATTGTCACATTTACAAGTCTATTATAGTAACAACAGCTATAGGTGCAGCTCATGGCTGGAAAGGTAACAACAGCAGTGTTGTTATACATACAGTGGTGATGCAACAAGAATTATGTGGAGAAAAAGGATGCCCTGCATTATCAGACACACCCCCTGTTGCTTGCAGTTTTTTCAACACAGCAGCACTTTGAGAAAGAGACAGTTGTACTTGTAATGGTACATGCTTAAAACTTCCAAGTTATGCTAATGCAGGGAAGTGTCATATGTAAAACAACTTTGGGAGAAGGTAATATATACTTTTAGTTGAAATTGTACAGGGTAGAAAATGGTTCCCTTGGGAGGAAAAGAGGAGCAAACTGAAGTCCTCTAGATTCAACAACTCACACACAATTACAGATGTGGCTATAAACCACATTGGTTATTTTCTTGGGAGCAGCATCAGCTTGCGGTTACTCCTTGGCAATATGTTGCCAGGATACATAAGCACAATCAGAGCTGTTTGGAGCTGAAGTCTACAGAATACACGCGAAGATGTTACCAAAAAGCAGGTGCACAGCAGTTATACTGAGCTTCAACAAGACAAGCCATCATACGGATAAGGCAAAAAAGGATAAATAGAATTTAAAAATAAATACCACCACCTTACAACCACCACCAGTGGGGAAGGAAGAAACTGACTGATCAACCAAGGTGCTCAGAGGAAAAACCTCCAATTTCAGACACTATATACGTTAAGGGCAAAAAGAAAAGAGAAAGCATGTTTTTGATTATGTTTTTGATTGCTGCAGGAAAACAGTTTCAAGACATAGAGCTAATGTCCAGAGCATTTTGAAGTCAATAGTTATAATTAGCTAGATTTGCATAAGGCACATTCACTTGAATTAACAACAAGCAACACACATTATTGATATTTGTAATATAACGGCAAGTGGAATACAAGCAAAATAAATCAGATACTGATTTCACTGAAAGGAGGGAACAGCTTAAGGTAAGAGCTTTAAGTCTATTGCATCCTATTGATACAGTTCTTCAAAATGTCTGAGACAATGCAAATTCTTGGCTAAAATTATATGGTCTCCTTTTAAGTTAAAAAAAAAAACCAAACAAACCAGTACTCTTGAGACAGATCAAGGCTCCAGAAGCAACATAATATGGTCTTACCTTGATGGAAAGCCAGAGCCTGGATCACCAAGAGAAGGTAATAATTTAAATAAAATTCCTATCTGCAACATTTCCATTCCTGTAAGCAAGATCCTCTTGATCACCATAGGAATCCATGCAGTTGAAAAGCTATGCAGTTTTACATAGGTGCTGCAGAGCAACACTCAGACTACAAATAATTAAGTAAAAAAGTACCATGGCTAAGTTCAAAACATTGTATTAGACTGCTTAAAAATGACAAAAAACTAGGTTTTCTCCTTCCAAAGACACAAATATAAACAGTGTATCTAAAATCTGTGAAAAATAAATTTGAAAAGACTAGTAATAGCTCCTCTTTGCCAAAGTGAGATCAGAGTAACGCACCATTTCTTGTTTTGCAGGCTAGTTCCAGGACTCCTTGGGAGATTTTCTATTTCAACTAAGACTGGACCAGAAGGAACTGCCGTTATTGGGGGCAGGGCTGTCATAGTACTCCAGTTCTTGGAAGACAAAATGCAAAAGCAAACATGTTTGAGTTAACATAGAGTACTGCATATGAAAGACTTCAGTATTTGCTCATGAAATCAAGACAATTCATCTCTCTCATGTGGCAGTGAGATGTTCGGTATCTCAAAGCAGGCGCTATCTGATACTTGCTGAAGATCTCAAGTGCAAGTGTTCTATGGCACCTAATCTAGGGTCATGGAAAGCTGCTAACAACAACTTTGCTTGGAGGATTTAGCTCACAATTTCTGGAAACTTTGGCTTGTAAATCTTCATTTTAACTTAAATCCTCAAAGGCAAGTTTATCAAATGCCACTTAGGAGCTATAAGATACGGAAGGCATAACACAAGGCAAGATCATTGTTTGCTAAATAAGCAGATTAGAGATACTTACTTGCTGTGATCCATTATTTTGGCTGAAAATATTATTTGGAAGGCTGAAAAAAATCAACACTTTAGAGTTATTCTCTCAAAGACTGACCTGCTGAAAATATGTATTTGCCGCATGAGTACACAACCATGATAGCAATAATTCCTTCAGTGTCAAAAATTTTTACCTTTGACATGCTAGCTGGAGGAAGATAGTATAAGGTGTATTTTTTTGGGAAAGCATACTGCTATATACTCCATAGTATAGGAAGATGCACAGGTAACTTCATTCTCTGTGCCCTGCCCGGCCACCCTTTCCCACCTGAGTTTGTCTCTGTAAATCATTGCATCTGAATAATAATTTTAATAATATTTTATTTTCATTAGTACTCAAAGTCTCAGAAGACTACAAAGACTAGATTTTCCTCATTTTCACTTAAATTTCAGAATTCTGAAATAATGCAGTATAAATTAATGTAGGATGAAAAACTGCACTATATGAAATCCACATCAGAGTTTCCTTATAACCCCATATGGGAATATAGATAAATCTTCCAAACATTCCTCTTCTGGAATAATTCCAGAAACAATCCCTCTCAGAGATAAGGTTTAAATTGAGAATAAGAATGACATTAAATAGATAATTGTCTTACCTAGTTTCTTCCGGTTTAGTAGTGTTTGCTGCAATAAAACACCGTAAAAATTATCACTTGTCCAACACGCCAATTGCATAGAGCCCTTTCTCTCATAAGTGCAGTAAACCATAGGTTAATTAACCTACAACTGGCTGTAGTGGGTTAATTACATCATATATCAACTACACCATACAATTTCCAGTTGAACTGCTCAGATATTATCTAGTGTCACCCTAACCTGACTTCTCTGGATTAACAGTGGATTGAACAACCCCCAGTTAACAAACCACCTTCACAGAAGAACTAATCAGCACACAGAATTGAAAAAACCTGCACTGATTTTTTTTTAGAGATAAAGATATGGCACAAAATGTTATGACAAACTTGTAAACACCTGGCATGTGGGTGATGATTTGTAAAATGATATGCGCATTGGATGTTGTAGTGGATGGGAGAAGAATGACAAGGAAGTTATTAAGGTTTAACATATAGCATATTGAACTTTACCAGTGTCTAAAAGCCTAGATAGTTATTTTAGAGCTATGAAAGGGACTTATGGTCTTGTGTTAGTTAGGAAGAGTACCAATTTCAAGCAGCTGTGAAACTGCTTTCGCCAAGTATATTCCTTTGGTAAGAGCTGTGAGAACTGAAATGATATGCTTCACTGAAGCAGCTTCATCATTCCCATCTCCTGAGAAGCTGGTTAGAGCTGGTGTGTTTACTGACAGCTTCTGCAGTGGTGAAGAGATTAACCTCATAAAATCCATGGTAAGAAGTATTGCCTTTTGATTTCAGCTTGGGAAGTGGAACTGAAACATCTCTCCCTCAAGCAACTTTGGAGACCCACAGAGTGTCTGTTAGCCTATTCAGGGAATTAACATATCCACGGATAAGGAGTGTATACACTTTTTTCTTGTTTGACAGACATGGTTTCATTTCTTCCCAAGTATCCATCAATCTAAAGTGAGGCACCTTTGCTGGACCAGACTTCTGGCGTTAAGTCATCTAACCTATCACATTTCATGGGCACTGCCTCTGCATACAATGGGTAAGTCTGTGGAAATGGGGTGAAAAGGGTCAGTGTAATCTTCCCATTAACCAAACCCAAGTTAGCCATACTGGTCATGATCCTACAAGCCACAACATTAATTCCATCAAACCAAGGGAGACAGATTAGTTTTTCTCAAACATCAGACCTCCCTACATATCACACTGCCCTTTGTTTTGGAAGCATTCTTTATTCTCAAAACCAGTTTAAGGTATGGTATGGGGATAAGATGTTTTTAAAAATTACATTCTATTAAGCTAGTCAACTGTGAGCCAAAGAAACATTTTGAATCAAATGCATTAACAGTGTCTACAAATGAGTCAGGTACCTCTCATTTGCAGTGTCCTCCTTGAATAGCGCTTGCTGGGCCTTCTTTCAAATGATGCTGACCTTCTGGCTTTGTTGGTCTTTGTTGTTTGGTATTCTGTTTTCCCACTAAATTGAAGAGAGGTGCACGAAGTTTAGTAAGAACTAAAGAGAACAGTAATGTGCTGAAATGGCTCTTCTAAGTATGTTAAATGGGATCCAGATTTAACTGTGTGCCACTGGCCTGGTGGAAGGAAATCTCATCACCCCCTGAACCTTCAGTAACCCTTGAACCAACACTACACAGAGGGTTTTGAGAACTCTATGAATGGAACAGGTTGCTGTGTGGGGGAGTGATACGGAAAGAGGGCATCACAAAAACTTGAGTGGTAGCCCCTTCTCTGAGAAAAACTTCACTCGTGGAAAGTGCCTTTGCCCAGTTTTCAGGGATTCCTTTGTTCTTTCAATACCATTGTTTACTCCATTCATCAAGGTTCCCAATCCTTTGTGTAGCATTTCCAGGAGACTGATGGGACTTCTGTGAGAAGGGGAAGTATGGTTCTTTCAATTCAATTGCTTCACCTACATCTTGGTTCTTTTGTGGTCTTTTGTCTATTGAAGTCATGTGCTTACTTCTACCTCCTACAAAAATATGAAGCAGATAGGATTCTTGCTAGATGAGCTTATAATGTAAAACTTAAAATCCACAACTGTAGAAAAAGGCAATGCCATTATATTTATTTATTTAAAACTTTTATAGGACATCCCTTATGCATGGCATCTCAGGATGGCTTACAAAGATTATAAAAAGAAACATGACTAGAAGATCACAATCCAGAAGTATATTTAGTTGATGATTATCAGCAAAGATTTAACACATCCTGTGAAAAGAAATCCAAATTTTATAAAGCATTAACAATAATTGCACATGGTTAGCCCTACATTACTTATTCCACTTCTATCATTCATTTTTTAAGTAACTTGTGTGAATGCCAAAGGAAAGAACAGGCAGAGGGAAGTTAAAGTTTTATAAGTATTTCAGATGAAGATAAAACTGGATATGAGCAAAGGAAACTTAGCCCAGGCGAGATAGAAGTGTTCCTGGCTGGCGGAGGGAAGGGGGGGAAACCACACACACACACACACACACACACACACACACACAACAAAGAGGCAACCAGGAGGCTGCCTGTTGGGGCTGCAAATTAGATTCCACTTGTAAAGTGCAGGCTGGCACTTGTCAGTGCTCTTTGACCCAGCATTATAACTAGAAGGCATGGTGTAGCTGAGGCTAGGAATGCTTTACACATATTTTCAGCTGGGGCACTAGCCACATGCTCTCTCTTGGAAAAGGCCGATGGCCATAATTTTATACGTAATGGTTACATCCAGATTAAATTACTGAATTTGCTCCATGTGGTAGTGCCTTTGAAAAGCATTTGGAAACTTTATTTGTTCAAAATACAATAACAAGACTGCTGGCAAAACCATAACAAACTAATACTATAATAACTCCACGGCTCCCAAACTCTTTGTAGGCTAAATTCACCATTTTGGTCCTGACTTTTAAATTCCTAAAATTTAGGCCTAGAAGGAGGAGGACTGAGAGTAGGCTAGAGCAAACTCATATGCCAAGTAAACTAAATCCTATCATCTTCAGTCTGCAAGTACCTATGGCTGTTCTCTATGGCTATGACATCTTTAAACAAGTTCTTATCAGGCTTACAGATAAGATAGAAAGGCCTATACCTGTTTAAAAGTATTGCTGAACAAACACCAGAAAGGCCAAAGCTTAACAACCTGTAGAATTTTATGCTTGGAACTATGAAAAATTCTTTTCTTTCATGCCACTGAAGATATGGAGAAATGATCACTACAAACAAACTAGATACCAGGTATGTTTTCCTGTGCATTATCTGAGAAACAGCAGGAAAGATGATATTAAACAGAAGGGACTGCTGACCTGTATCTGAACCGTGACCCCAGACGAATGAAACCTGATCGACTCGAACCTTTTTGGACAGGTCCACGGAGGCGGAAGAAGGCATGATGCTCAACTGCACATTTCCACAGGTGTTTGCAGGCCTTTGGGTGATCCAGCCTAAAGACAAAAGTGTGCTCCTGTTCTTTGCCCTTAAAAAGATGAACACCACGATGGTGTTGTGGAATAAAAGGATACAAATACTGACTTTACATCATCACTACAAACAATGCACTTCCAGAAGAAAAGGATTTTGCACTGAGTGTGCTAAAAGCCATTTAAAAGAGAAGTTCTACCAATAAGGTTTCTAAAACCCTGAAGAAATTATTTACAATTTTAAGAACAACATTCTCCTTAGTATATCACTGATGAAACAAATTCTTCCTATTTCCTTGGCAGACAATAAGCTGGGGAGATAAAATATAAATAACTGATCATCTATTCCTGTTCTTGCTATGATTAAATGTGCAAAAAGCAGTACAGTTATCAAGTTTGCTAAATGCCGGTCAGTGTAACACCAAACTTCTTTTAAAAACATTGGGTCACAACTAATCATGTGTTCAACTATATTGGTATGAGCAAGATATGCCATTTTCCTCACACCAGAGGAATAACTGCACATAATGTGTGCAATCTCAATATATTAAGCTTACCCACTCTACCTACCCTAAGGCTAAGATGACTCAAGCTGCAACAGAAAAGAACAAGACTTAAATGTGCTATCTTTGAAGATGTAGGTAAGTATCTTAAAGCCAACCTGCCACTATCAACTCACTTCAGTGTGGGAAGTTAATATGTTTACAGTTATAAAAATAAAAGCTATATACAAAATTAAAAAGTAAAGGAAGGAACAAAGGAAGAATTATGTTTTTAAACAACCCTTACATTAACTTACAAGAATTTTTCTTGTAGACAAGTATAGTCTAGCAGAACTCAATGGCTAATGTAATTAGAACAGAGAAGGCTGTTTTTCAAGATGTTTAGCCAAAGTATCTTTGCATTTAAGTAAGCATTACATTGTACTTCTATTTTGAAAGAGGCCCTTGCAGCACTTGTAGGTTTTGGCTATCTTCCTTAAGCTGATTTCCCACCAAATCAGAATGTATTCTTTATCACATTTAGAATGTACATCTCAGAAAACTCATTACCTCTATTTAACACATACATCTCAAGTATTGGCACAAATCCTACTCATGTGCATCCATTTGTAAATTATGGATCATTATCTAGATTACATATTTTGGATTCAAGTGAGGTTGCCCTATTTTTCTTTCAAACAAAAATTGTTGGTGTTTGGCTGGATCATCAGAGCATGGTAGGTCACCATTCACAATCATTTCCCCTAAGTACCTATTGGCAGCATACTGTCTTATAACCTATATCCCTCTACAGTAAAAGGAAAAGACTATACCTAGAAGTTGTTAAAAGGCAATTTTAGGAACACTGTATCTTGTCATACTGTGTTCTATTTTGCCTTCAGAGCTACTGATTAACTATTAAAGCTAAAGTCTAAAGCTAAAGTCTCTTTAGAAGCAGAATTTGAGACTTTACCTTTTGTCAGACAACTAGGAGGGAGTGAGGAATTACACTCAGTCAAAATAAACATTTGCTTGCTTGGTGTTATTCAAGAGCTCTGCTGCACTGTTATTTCTGAGGTGTACCTCTCAGCCCTTATTTATAGAATCTCAATTTTGCCCCAAAGCAAACACTTAGCATCAGGGCAAGAACTAAATAGGAACAACCCTACTAATATGCAAAGCCTGGGAATTCTGGAGCTTGCAAATGTTTATAGTTGTTTTGATTAAGAATGATTCAGTGACTGGGTAGTACAATAATCTTTCTCAGAGGGTTAGCCATGATGAGTTGTGCAAACCTGGACTAATTCCTGTAGGTTGGTTTGTTTATGGGCAACAAACCACACCAACAACCCACAGTTTGCTGCTGGATTTGTTGGAACCATGATGCCACCCCCCTCTCCCTACAATCTTCAATTTGATGGCAACTTCAGAGTGCCCCCATTGCATTCTGGAGGGTTTGTCACTGATTCACTGTCCTGTTGTAATTACTCTTTAGCACAAGAGATTTGTGCACGTTTTCAAACAATGTTTTAGCTGGACTTGCATGGGCCCAGAATGACAAGTCCTGCCTCGGCAATGCGCAAGTCCAGCAGGAACCTACTATGGGGATTGATCTAAAGAGGCTGCATTTTTCACTATGCTTTCTCTGAACAACTGCCAGAAGGTAAGCCTTCAACAGAAACCAAAGCTGCAAGTCATCTTTACTTGAAAAGGGGAGGCCAGTAGATCACCCCCTTTGCAGTGAAATTTTTTAGGGTTTTTTCTGGACCTGACACGTCAGCTTCCTTGCACCTGTCCACCCTTTCCCAAGATTCTAGGTATTTAGAAAAGTGAAAGTGTGAAAGTTTTACAAGCTTGGTATCCATTCTAGTTTCTTTTAAAGGGTTTTTTCCTGACAGAAATATCCATTTGTTTAAAAAGGGACAATCCTTCACATTTTTAGACACAGTAACTCTTACAGCTCCAAGAACTGTCCAACCAGATATGTCTGGAGTTGCAAGATTGTTCTCTGCAATAACATTCCCTTGGTTATTGTTCCTGAAAAATTTTAACATGACTGCTCCTTTGAAAATTATTCAAAGAAAGCCATCCAAGGTAATTTCAGAATTGACCAATACGAAGCCTTTCCTTTTAGAAGCAGTGAGAGACTATAGGCAGCATGCCCACATTAGGTGCTGCTGGGCATCCTGGGAGGGGTCACTTCATGGAGGCCCCACACGGGGATCAGTGTACCACACTTATGTGTACACAGTGTCGTCCTCTGAAATAGGTAAATATCCACATTCTAATGTCTCCCCCTCTCCCATGCCATCCATTTCCTAATTTCTGTAATCTCTGTTTTAACCTGTGTGTTGCCTGACCCCATGCCACTACAATCCTAGTTTGTCTTGTTGCATTCGGTTCGTCCACTGCCACAATCCCTAGCACACTTCCTGTTTCTTTCCTTGGTAGCCCTAATTTCTGCACCTCTGACACATACTCTATGTCTTGGTTTTTAAAATTAAGTTTAGTGTGACTGCTACCAGTCCACCATTAATTGTGCTAATCTAATCTCCTGTTCCTCAGATTTAACAATAGATCAAGACCAAAAAACCCATATCCAAAACCTACAAGAAAGCAGAAACACCCACAATTAATTCTTACAAGTGAGCACCTGTAATTTTAATGAATCCCTACAGTATTTTAAAAACCATGTTTCTAAGATTCTTATGTCAGAGAAGAGACTCCAAAGAAAAGCTTTTAACTTCCAAATTCTGAAGTTCCTATCATGCATCAAAATTACATATTTTTAAATTGTGTATATCTTTCATAAAGCTAATATTATTTGATTCAACTCTCGATTCTGTGCTAATAGCTCTCCTTGGCATAAATGTTAAGCATAACAACCCATGTTACACTTCATCTTTTGGCAAACAATTAATCACTATATCGAGTGTACCTGTGTTTTGGGATACCATGGCATCCAAGACATATAACACTGTTTAAGCCCTCTTTTCCATTGAAATCATATTTAATCATGGCTGGGTGATGCCTATATACACCTACTTCATCTTCTAGCACTACCCACTTCTCCAGCAACTAAGGATACTTAAAGGTGCATATGAAAATATATATTTCAGCTACTGACAAACTGTTATCATTTAAAACCCCATGTCATTCTGGTATCATTTCACTCTCTGGCACCTAGTCCACTGCAGTAAAGACTCCATTGTTATTCATTATTATGAAACCAAAGCAAACATTTAGGCATTGTTTCTTTTCAATAGAAGGCAAAGTGAACACAATTTTTTATCTACCTGTTCATCATCTTCAACCACCACAAGTGTTAACTTATTCTTTTTGAAGTCCAGTCTCGTGATTTTTGGCCTGTAAGGAAGCAAAAAACAAGGGAACAAAGTACCTTACTACAACTACTGCTAGTAAAAACAGATTTTGCAAAATAAAACCCTGTCTACCCCAACACCAAGCATTATCTTAGGTTGTACACTGAAACAGTATTTTAAATGTTACAAGCTTAACGTACAGGATGCTTTAAACTCGTGCTCTTCTTACTCTTGTATGATACTAGAACCACTACAATTATGTAATGGCTATGGAGTACCAAACCACTGACACTGCAGATGCCACTCCCTCCCCCTGCCCCCAAAATGTTTCACTGCATTTGGGGACAGTGTGGGGCTGCATGTGTTACTCACTCTGCTACAGAGATTCCAAAATAATTTTACATTATCCAGCTTACCAGAAAAACAATCCAATCTTGGTTTCTCCTTCAAACACAAGAACTCCTGTTGGTGTAAGTCCAAGGCTATAATCATTGCCATCTCTTGCCTAACAGAAATTGAAATTAGGTTAGAAAATTTCCATAGGTGTGACTGTATGCTACTGCAGATTAATTTAACTACTCATTTATTAAGATATTTCTGAAAAATTAAAGTCACAGATATATTAATAAGCATGCTACTCAATAAACACCCTATTCTGGTTTGTAAAAATGTCTGCAAAAAACATTGAAATGCTTTGTTTTTCTATGTTTAACCTTTATGCTTTAACTAATGCAACTTTTACTGTTACTTATTAATACGATCCTGGCTTCTCTAAGCACTTCATAAAGCTATGTTGACAGAATATTAAGTTTTAAAAACAAACGTGATGATATAAAACATTTTACTTATGTTGTTCTTCAAGCTTTGTAATAGGTGCATCACTGAAAACTGTTTACATTATGCTTACCAGCTTGGTTATAAACACACTAGTTGAAAGAAAGATCTTGCCAATTCTTTTTCAATTTTCTCTTTAAGTTATAGAACATTAAGTGTGTTCTTTACAGCATTCTAACTCAACATCTTGTCTTTATTCTGAATATATTTAAATTTAAGGATTAGGAACTCAAGTACATGTAGGTATAAATTCATTGTGACTGGAACAGCACCCAAGTATGCAAGAAATAGATCAGGTCATGGCCAATCATCATGTCCATCAGATTTGTCTATTATAGAAAAGTTTCTCTAGGCAAGCTTTACAGTTTAGTAGAAGCAGCTTAAAAAGAAGTAGATCTTACCCATTTTTACTGGGAACATAGACTGCAGTTTACTTAAACAGACTATTATTTATTTCTTATTTATTCAGTTTATAGCCCATTTTCTTCTTACAACTCAAAGCTGCTTACGTCATTCTCCTCCTCCTGCTCTATCCCCACAACAACAGCCCTGTGAAGTAGGCTGGGCTGAGAGTCTGTGACTGGCTTAAAGTCACCCAGATGGCTCCATGGCTGAGCAGGATTAGAAACCAGGTTGCCTGAGTCCCAGGTCCTGCGCTCCTGATACTCCACACTGGCTATCATTCTCTTTCCCTTGCATGTTTATGTTTATGCAATACTAAGCATGCCATCACACTATATAATCAAGTTTACCTTGACTATATGCATGTCTACTCCATACATTTCCAGCCATTTTGCTTTGTTCAAATAATTTGTTTCTGCCTGAGCAGGTGTTTGGCCCCTGAAAATAATTTGTTACAAGAAACAGACAATTAAAATAAACATGCCTCAAGAGGAAAATGAAGTTTTAGAAAAAGCACAAAGAAGGAGAAGCTATCAAACAGTGCTGGTCTACAATAAATTTTAATTTTGGCCCATTGTCATATCTGCATTTCTGGTCTTGAAATGCCAAGTTTGGTAAAATATTGTACTGCATACTCAAGTTGTGCAACCTTACGCAGTTTTACTGAGAACCTCAAGAGGTGCTGTGGCTGCAGAATGAACAGAAACCAAACTCATTTAGATGGCATCCCTTGCTCCCAGCTATGATGGGGCTTGCTGTGATTGCTTTAGAGTGAAAGGCAACCTATTCTTGCTCAAAGGGTAGTCTCCTCTTCATCAAACCTTCAAGCGGGGGGGGGGGGGGGGGACAACCATTCCAACTGAAGTATTTTGTTGGCTCAGCTTCCAGACTCCCTATCAGTTTCTGGAGTCCATTCCAAGACAACTGGTGAAACCTGCACTGAAAACCAAGCATCAGTGGCAGTAAAAGCTTATCGTTTCAACAATGACCTAGTCATAACAATCTCTACTGTTGTTTAACTGCTCATTGCAATAAAGTAACTTATGAACCTGGCAGGTAGCAACAGGACAAAGATGGTGTACTATATTCTAGTTCACCCCAACAAAAATTGGAATATACTTGTGGGGACAGTTCTATCACTATTGGCACCCTATTGAGTAAGTGAATGTCTACAAAGAGAAATGGAGACAAGCAAATGTTGAATGCTATAATTCAGGAATTCGTTACCTGTATTCTTTCCACTTATCAAAAATAGCCAGTTCCATCTCTTCAGTTTGGTTGGGCACAAATCTGAATTCTGACACGATGTCAGGGACATGCTCAGCAGGGTCATAGTCACCAAGTTCAGCTGCAAAATTAAGGAACAGTTGGAGAAAATTGCAGTAAAACCAGATTTTCTAATTAGCCAAGCGGAACCTGCAAGTGCCTAAAATGTTTCATTAAATCCTTCTTCAAATGTTCAAAGTATTTGCAACCTTTTATGAACTTGCACTGTTTCAAACATGCTAAAATTGAGAGTTGATGGTTTTGAGAAAAATATGTTACAAGCTGCATCGTACCATATGTACTTTTTCAAGTGAACAGATTTTGAGTTATTTCTAATTTATTATTAGATGGTTTATTTGAAACACGAAGGAAAGCCTTCTTAAAACAAAGCGGGATAGCCAGTGACATACTGACTTGTGGTTCCTTGAAGCTGCAATTATTGGGCTCAGACTCTGGAAACAGTTGCAACCTTCTTTAATGATTCAGATCCATGCACAGAGCCAGCTCTAGGACTGAGGAGCACTTAGGCAAAGTGCTTTTTGGTTGGCCAGCAGTTTATACTGGTGGATCTTCCCCACTTTATCTAGTGCCAGTTACCTCTTGCATGACTGGGTCTGCAAGTGCCCACTTCTGTAATATCATCTGAGGATATTATGGGAATAATGTAAGGTGCTAAAGCCAGACAAGCCTCAAAGTAGAGCACAGGACAGATGTTAGGGGTGGGGCCCCTGAGAGGTAACCAAGAATGCTGGATGCTTACTCCAGACCTCTTTGCATTTGACTGCAACCAGCAACTCCAAAAAACACCACTTTACCAAGTAACATGATTCATTTTCTAGTGAGGATTCCCTGAATGTCTGTGGTTTTTCTCATATGTTATAGGAAACCAAGAAAAAAAGAAAAGCCATGCTGGATCAGGTCAAAGGTCCATCTAGTCCAGAACTTTGTACACACAGTGGCAAACCAGCTGCTCACAGGATCCCCCAAGCAGGATGGGTGCAGGACCTCCTCCTACCCAAGCTCCTCAGCATCTGGTGTATGTAGGCATGTCACCTCTGGGTAAAGGAGGTAGCACGTAGCAAGGTTAGTAGCCGCTGATAGCCTCCCTCCTCCACAAATCTGTCCAATTCTTTTTAAAGCCCTTTAAATGGTGGTCACCACCATCTCCTTTGGCAGCAAATTCCATAGTTTACTTGGCTATTACATTTTTGCATCTTATTTTAAGCAGGTATGCAGCACTGACTGAAACCCAAGCAACTTCAGTTTTCTGCAACCTATTACTTTCCTACCACTTCAGAACATCTCCTAGCTTCTCAAGGTTTCTTACACCCACCAAAATGGTCAGTTGATGCTGTGATCTTGAACTGAAAAGATGCATATAATCAGTAGCTTCAGAAAACTGAATGGATTTCAACTGTGGAATTACAAGGTTAAATTACCTGTCCAACATTGTAAACAAACCCATACCTTCTCTAATTATGTTATTATCTAACTCATATTAAGAGACCTTTAATAGGAACAAAAGTACAACATCAAAGCAAATGGATGCTACCATCCCAGCAAGCAAATGGCTTTATATATTTATTGGAAAAAAAATCAGAAGTTTTGGACAGTCTATCTTCATACTGGATATCCTCAGTGTCTCCTCCCCTATCTAAAGAGGAAGTTACAGAAAACTCAAGAAACAAAATCCTTATGTTCCCTATTTTCTGACCTATATGCATAAAAATATGCTACAATTATTTATAATATTTGCCAATCACAGTACTTTATAGTAAGAAAAATGTATCCACTGTGAAGGGTAACTCATAATAGAGGAGTTATTTTCCAAAATTCTCTTTCCCAAAGGATATATATAAATGTTAAAAGCAACCTTTGATACATGACTAACAGACCTTTAACACAGTTTATTCTTTGGCAGTTTTGAGTATCCAGTTACAGGCTTGTTATCTACACTGAGAACTATCTAAACAACAGAATACCAGCAACTCTAATATCACCAAAGGATGTCTTCCTAAGCATACTGACTTGGAAGTTCCATTAAATGTTGTAGGCTCATTGTTTCTAAATAAACAGGTTTTAAAGTCTTAAAATGGGCTCTGATTATACAAAAATAATGCACTGGAATTCAATTACTCATCTGAAAATAAATTAGCATTTTTTCTGAAATAAAAGACAGAGCAAAACAAAAAAGAACCCTATCCTAACTTTGCACAGAGTATTCTTGTATATATAAAGTGTTTGAAAATTTAGTGCAAGGTGAATCAAGAAAGCAACTTTAAGACCTATGACAAACAATCTACAATACAGCTCAAAGTTGACAGATCTTTCAGGAAAGACAATTGAAAGCAGGCAGTGCCAGATTCTGATTCAGAGCCAACTGTTATATAATTCACATAGTATAACAATCAACAAGTCATAATTTGGAGTTCACTGAATTTTTCCAAACAAACCCAAGGTTCTGAACCATCTGCTAGAAACAGTTATTTCACTTAAAAGGTTTGGTCTTCCCATTACCTATGCCTGCATAAGGACTCGTCCACACCCCAGGATTCCACTCATACTTCCCAATCATGCTGGAGCGTAAAGTAGCAGGCAAGCCAAGATCCTGGTGATAAACCTTACAGTATTGAGCCCTACTAGCTTTATAATCCTTTGTATGAGGTGAACTGAAATAGATCTTTCAGGTACAAAAGCATCACCAGCCAGAACTAGCTCCCATACTGAAATCCATCTGAATTGTAGGCAATGTTAAGACCAAGCATCCAAATGTAGTTTGCTATAAGAAACCCATCATGCAGTTCAACAACACAATGTCAATTTATTCCAGGCAACTCACCCTGTAACATGTAAGCTGCTAACTGCACTGCTGTTTCAAAGGGACATTCCAACCTGAAAATGAAGAGGAAAAGTGAGGCAACTGTTTACAGCAGTGTCTAGGAAATAATTATAGATCAAGGACTCAATAAAGGATGGAAGATAGGGATGGGTTTTTGGCAAACTTAAACATACATGTGTTTAAGGCATCATATTTAACCTAAAGTACTTTGATTTTCATAAATCTATTGTCTTCCATATACTTCACAAGCTCTTATTAAAGGATAAACAACACACCTGTGTAAAACAATCCAGACTAAGCCACATTCATAGTTATGCTCCTGACATACAAAGCCCCAAACAACTCAGATCACCTGCCCTGTATGTACATCAAGCTGGCCTTTAAGTAATAAAATCTTCTAAGGACATGCTTGTTCTGTGTGCTCTCTCATTAGCAAGACCAACCCTTTGGACCACCATCCCCCATGCAGTGTAAAAGATAGAAACATAGAAACGGAGAGAGTCAGAAGGGGCCTCCTGGGCTAGTGTAACTCCCAGCTCTAGCTGGCTCTGCTCATGACATGCCTACCATGTGCAAAATGCGGTATGTTTTAAACAACTCCTGAAAGCACACTTGTTTGCGTAGGTTTCCTCTGGTTTGTAATTAACTGTTTCACTGCTTCATTTTATTATTTTTGTATTACTTTTATTGCTAATGTGGCTGAAATTGTTTTTAATAGCATGTTTTAAGCTATGGGTATAATACTGCATATGTTAATCTATGATTTTAATACTGCTATAGGTAAATCACTTAGCAATATTACAATAAAGGGTATATAAGTATTAATCATAATGAAATAAATTTTAAAATGTTTACTGCTAACAGTAAACATACCTACTGCTCTGTGAGTAACTATGATTAGTAACTAATGATTATCAATAGTACTTACTTCCCACTGAGAATGTCCTGTTTTAGCTGAAGAACAAATAAATACCTATTTTGGAAAAGAAAAGCAAGAACAAAGTTCAAGTGAAGAATTTCAGCACTGGAGAGTACACTGCCATGGGTAAAAACTGATAGCATGATGCTGAACATATATAGGATAAAATAATGCACTGTGATCTCCCTGTTGAACCTTGGAAACAAGGATACAATTCTAATTAAGGACTGCTACTTTCCTAGTTGGTTTTTCTCACAAGGCAGTAATATACACAGGAAGCAGAGAGAAGGATGGATTTTGAAACAAGCCTGCAAACTTTACTACTGGGTGCCCAATATTTCCTCCAAAATGTTATACTAATTGACATAATTAAGATTACTAATCTTTAACTGACCTATGAAAGATTACCTCCCAGACCATCTTTGTCTTTCAGGTATGTTCCACTGAAACACAACCACTCATGCTTATAATGCTCATGTTCAGATTAGTTTGACAGAAATCAGTCACAGATTCTATAAACTCTTATACATTATTTAGCTCTCCTGTTTGGATCACTGTATACAGCATACCTTGTGAGTTCTTCACGTAGGTTGTTTGGCTCTGACGAGTAAAATTTTACACGAAGATGCAGACAGTATGGTGGGCCAACTACAAAAGAATATGTTGGGTTACTGACAGCAAGAATAACATTTTGTAAATGCTTTCATTAGCTGTTGGGTTAAATATGAGGTGCTCTTAGGTAGGATTTTGAGGAGAAAAAGAATGTATCAGAGATAAAACCTACCACCAAAAAGGGAATGGTAAAAGAGATAAAAGTAGTTTCACATATTACAAGCCATCTCAGTCACATCACATTAAGTTGAGTAGTCTTGCCAAGAACAGATAAATCTAGGTTAATCCCAATATTACAAAGCTCTATTCCATGAAACGAGAAATCCACAGACCTTGGCTGTTCATAGCCTTTTGGGGAGCACCTGCTATCAACATTTTTGTCTGCACAGATTCTACAGAAAACAGCCACATTTGGGGGCATGATATTTTCTCAGAATGTAGCATTCTGTGGAGCTAGCCAATCTGTTAGATGGAGTAATTTTTTAAAAAAGATTCATACCCTAACAGGGGTATGTATAGGATATGCCAAGGGTATCAGACTGCTGAAGCATGACAAATATGTCTACCTGCACTAGAAAGCCTTCTCCTTATACTAACTTTCTCTCTCCCTGGTTTTCTGTTCTTGGATAATTCTTCATGCCCCCAGGCTGTCCTGCAATTGTTCAATACAAGGCAGTTTTGCATTTAGCCAGCCTACCACCTACCACCAAATGCATTACTTCAATTCTCCTCAGAAGAGGACGCCAAAGCTTTGACAGCAAAGAGTAAGAGAGGGAAAACACATAATCCTGAAGCAGGCTGCATGTATTTTATCTTCGCAATCTCTGCTGACCTCCTTTCCCAAGAAGACAGTCACAACATTCCTTTGTGGCTGATCCACACCTCATTCCCTTCTGATGAGAAAAATCCAAGACCAGGAAATTATTTATGCTCTGATTCAACATCCATTAAAGACACTTGATAAACCAGATATTCAGAGTTTCTGGTTCATTTTGTACTTTCTTATTAGAAAGAGTTCCTTTAAATACAAAAAGCCTGAAATCACAATAGGCCAGTCACAGCAATCACAACAGGTCAGGGACATGAAGACTGAAATATATTCTACCCAATTCCTATTTAAGCACAATAGTCAAGGAAAAGAAGGGATATGGGAAGTTGAAAGGTGCTACTCAATATATAAATGAACACTTTAAAAAAGTTCTTTTGCCATATAATGAATCAACTTCAAGCACCTCATGATCAATTAGTTAAGAAAAAGGCGGCTTATAAATCAAATAAATAAATAAAACAATGTGACATATGTCAAAAGGAGTTATAATACTAATTTCTGTGTTACCTTATTTTTCTCCGAATATTGTTTCATTTTATCCAAGTATGTTTTGAAAAAGCATATTTTTCACAAACAAAAACCTATACAGTGGTACCTCAGCTCACAAACGCCTTGGTTCACGACCAAATTGGGTCGCAAACAAAAATTTCATGAAAATTTTGACATGGGTCGTGAACTCCACACTTGGTGGTGACCAAGATCCCAGCCAACTCCCCCCCCACACAAATGGGGAGATGGCCATGATCGCAGTTGCGTTCATGCAGGGAAGACGTGCGTGATCACAGGCACGCTCCTGCAGGAAAGATAGGCGCAATCTTGGCCATCTCCCCCTCCAACCAGCGTGATTGCGGCTATCTCTCCCTCCCCCAGCGCGCCCCGTTCACACCCGGCTCTCTCTCCCCCAGCATGTCCACGATTGCGCCTGTCTCTCCCCTCCCCCCAGCGCGCCAGGATGACAGGCGCGTGCAGGGATGACGGGCACGATCTTGGTCGTGCTGCGGGGGGGTGGCGGGAAGATGGCCGCATTTGTGCTCCGGGTGGGGAGGGGGAGATGGTCTCGATCTTTGTTGTTCTTTGTCACTTTGCTTCACTTTTTTCTGATTTAAAAAAAAAATGGTTACAGAACAGATTAACCTTATTAATATTGAACCTTATGGGGAAATTTAACTTGGCTCATGACCAATTTGGGTCATGACCAGAGTCCTGGAACGGATTAAGTTCGTGAACCAAGGTACCACTGTACTTCACTGAAAAGTAATCAGTAAGAAATATAATCAACTCACTTTTAACTTGTTTTTTAATACTCTTTGTGTTGTCCAACCAGTGCTAGAAGAAGAAGAATCAACTGATTATAAACAGTATTACTTCAACACAAGAAAAATGTTTTATGAGGGACAGACAACTAAAAATAGTAACCTAAAACAAAGTAAAAGTATAATAAACTGTCAAACAAGGTCAAAAGCAAAATCAGGTTCTATTCTAAATTCTTTATAGGTTAAACATCCATGGTATAAAAGCAGGTTGCTTACCTGTAACTGATGTTTGTTGAGTGGCCATCTGTGCAGTCACACTTATGGGTGCTGTGCCTGTGCAGTGCCTTTGGCCAGAAGATTACAAGCTAATGGTTTTTGGCGGGAAAGCTCCGCTCCCCCTCCCCCACAGCCTATAAAGAGTGGAGCGTCCGCCATTTTGTTCAGTCTTTGAAGACCGAACGGATGCCCCCACGTGAGAAAAATTAGTTCTACTGTCAACTAGATTGGTACCAAGAAATAATGGAAATGTTCGGTACTGACGAAAAAGTCCACTCACCGACACCGAGCGGGGCCGGAGGGTGGGTTGTGTGACTGCACAGTTGGCCACTCGAAGAACATCAGTTACAGGTAAGCAACCTGCTTTTCTTCGTCATGGCCTCTGTGCATCACACATATGGGTAGATTAACAAGTTTACCATAATGGAGGAGGGGAGGTGTCCTCAATGAAGAACAGATGAAAGAACGGCTCTGCCGAAGGAGCAATCTTGTCGAGCCCCAACATCTAAACAATAATGTTTGGCGAAAGTGCAAGGGTTTGCCCAAGTAGCAGCCCGACATACATCGTCAATCGGTACTCCTGATGCGAAGGCAGAAGAGGTAGCAACAGCCCTAGTCGAATGGCTTTGAGGAGCTGTGGGTAAGTCAATCTTAGCCAGTTGGTAAGACAAAGTGATGCTATGGACTAACCACTTAGAAAGCCTCTGAGGAGTGACAGGGGTGCCTTGATCTCTGGTAGCATATTTAACGAAAAGTCTATTTGAGCGCCGAATAGATTCCGTCCTAGATCTGTAGAAGGCTAAACAGCGCCGAACGTCAAGTGAGTGCAATGATCTCTCTAGCGGAGTCGACGGAGATGGAAAGAAGGCAGGCAAATTGATATCTTGTCCCATATGAAAGGGAGTGGACACCTTAGGGAGAAAAGATGGATCGAGCCACAGGACGACCTTTTCTCTATGAAAGTTGAGGTAAGGTGGGTCTACGCGGAGAGCGCAGAACTCATTGGCCCTTCGGGCCAAGGTAATCGCCACTAGAAACGCTGTCTTCCACGAAACAAGACATAATTTGACTGTTGCTAATGGTTTGAAAGGAGCTCTTGTAAGCGCTTGCAAAACAACAGAGAGACTCCAGGTAGGCATTACTGGCCTGATCAGTGGATTCAGATTATAAAGCCCCTTCAGAAACCTCTTAATAGTAGGTTGAGAAAAGATGGACGATCTGTCCAGCATGCCACAATGATAGGAGATTGCCACCGTATACACTTTAATCAAAAATGGTTTCAGTCCAGAGTGGTGTAGTTCTAAGAGGAACTGAAGAATTTGGCGTATCGATGATGTAAGTGGAGAGAACGAACGAAACTTGGCAAAGGTGGGAAAATCGTCTCCATTTAGCCAGGAATCCAAGATGTGTTGAATGTCCAGAAGAAAGGTTGTCGGATTCGGTGGAACAATCGTCAGATCCAACAGTGCTGGTTGAGCGAAAGAGGAAGCAGCGCCGACCCCAGCGGATTCGAAGGTTCTGAAAGCAGTGCATTCGAGGGCAGGATTTGAACCACTTGAAGTTGCCATCGGTACAGATGTAGCAAAATTAACTATCGGATTCGCCATGCTGTTAGTTTCAACGACAGTATATCTGGATGGCGAAGCGCACCGTCCTGCTGGGTTATGAGGTACGGAAGCAGTGGAAGATAAAGGTATTCCCTGTGAGAGATGTCGAGCAGTGTGGCAAACCAAGGTTGGTGTGGCCACCAAGGGGTAATCAGTATCCCTGTGGCCCAATCGTATACAATCTTCGCCATGACTCTCATCACAAGAGGAATCGGCGGGAAGGCGTAAAAATTCAGGTTGTTCCATGGGATCATGAAGGCGTCCCCCAGGGATTCGCACCTGATTCCCACTCTCGAACAGAAAGTCTCGCACACCTTGTTCTGTTGGGTGGCGAACAAGTCCACGTTGGGAAACCCCCAGCGAAGAAAAAGATTGTCGTGTGTCTGAGGATCTAGTTCGCATTCGTGGGAGGTGAACATGCGCCTGCCGAGAAGGTCCGCTTCCACATTGTCCGTTCTGGCCAAATGGACTGCCATTAGTGTAATGTCTCTCGAAATGCACCAGTCCCAGATCTGCATAGAAAGTCTGGCCAGGGTCGGAGATTTCGTCCCACCTTGTTTGTTCAGATGAAAGACGGTGGCTATGTTGTCTAACGTTATCTGAATGATTCAATGTTGAAGAACATCCTCGAAAGAGCACAGGGCTTTGAATACCGCCAACAGCTCCAGGAACTTGATATGATTCGTGGATTCTTGATGAGTCCATGTGCCCTGGGTATATAGGCTGGAGCATACTGCTCCCCACCCCAGAAGAGACACGTCGGTACCGACGGTTATCGATGGACATCGGGGCCTGAAGGGGATCCCAACAGACAAATTGGCCAGGACCGACCACCATAGTAGAGAGTGGAGCTCCGAGGATGGAACTCGGAGCAAGTTCGACGGTGGATCTCTCTGTGGATGGAATACTTTGTTGAGAAATAGCTGCAAAGGACGAAGTCGAAGTCTGGCGTGTGGTACCACAGCAATGGAGGAAGCCATATGGCATAGAAGCCTCTGGATGGACTTCACTGGAACCGTCCCATCGCATTCGATTTATTTTATTTATTTATTTAGGAGACTTCTATGCCGCCCCATTCGCCAAAGCCTCGGGGCGGCTCACAACCATAAATAAACTTCAAAATAGAATAATATAAATTAACAATATAAATTAAGTCGCCCTGGCCAAAGAATAAAATGAATAAATAATATTAACAATTAAAATAACATTTGAATAAAAAGGTCTTCGCCTGGCGCCGAAAAACAAATAATGACAGTGCCAGGTGGATCTCTCTGGGGAGAGATGGATGTGGCGAGCGAGAGTCAGTTGTCTGTCCTGAGGGAGGAAGGCCTTTTCCAACGTCGAATCCAAGTGGGCTCCGATGAATGTAAGCTTCTGTACTGGAAGAAGATTTCTCAGTATTAATGCAGAGGCCCAGATTGTCCAATAAGGCACAGGTAATATGGATGAAAGTGAGGAGTGCTTCCCTAGACCTGGAGACCAGGAGCCAGTCATCAAGGTAAGGATAAACTTGTATGCCCTGGAGGCATAGGAAAGTGCAGACAGGGGCCATGCATTTAGTGAACACTCTCGGAGCGGTGGCCAAACCGAAGGGTAGAACCGTAAATTCGTATAAATCGGAAGCAACAGCAAAGCAAAGCAAACGCCTATAATTGGGATGGATCACAATATGGAAATAGGCGTCCTTCAAGTCCAATGAGGCGAACCAATCCTCTTTCCTTAGCAGCGGCAAAATATTTTGGAGGGTGGTCATTCGAAACTTTTTCATCACGATGAATCGATTCAGATTACGCAAGTCCAAAATTGGATGTAGGCCACCATCCCGCTTGGGGACCATAAAGTATCTGGAGTAGACTCCGTGAAGTCCGTCATGTTGAGTTATTTGACGAATTGCTCCTTTATGAAGAAGTTGTTGTATTTCATCGAGCAGTACCGGTGAGTATGATGTAAACCGGATCGGACTTGATGGAGGAACGATGTCGAATTCTATCCAATAGCTGTGCTGTATGATGGACAATACCCACCGGTCAGATGTAATGGACTCCCAAATGGGGAGTTGGCGTCGCAGCCGGTTCCCAGATGAGAGGGGGGTGGGTATGGGAAAGGTTAGAGAAATGGTTCGCCTGTCCCGTCAACGCTGCCTCCTATCGTCATATCGGCGGCGGCCCTGTTGGTAGTGTTGTTGGGGCTGTTGTCGGCGGCGTTGTTGCTGCTGCTGCCTGTGCTGAGGCTGTTGCCTGGATTGGTAAGGCTGTCTATAGGGCGGATGGGTCCATGCCCACTTACGCCTTGGTTGCGACTGGAGTTCCATCCATTGGGCTGTCATGCGGGATTCATGGAGTTTTTTGAGTTTATGATCTGTCTTGGAATGGAAAAGCCCGGACCCGTCAAAGGGCATTTCCTCAATTCGGCGCTTAGTCTCTTCCGGAAAGTTGGCACTCCTCAGCCACGCATGCCTGCGGAGAGAGACAGAACTGACCAAGGCTCTTGAGTTGGTGTCCACATGGTGCCTGGCTGTGTACAACTGCTGAACGGCAACCTGCATCGCCTCCTTTATTAGCACCTTGGCCAGGTCACCCTGGTGGTCCGGGAGGGCCGAGACGACGTTGTGGAAGTGTTGCATTATAAAGTACTGGTACCTTGCCAACGTCGCCTCGTAGTTTGAAATATGCAGCCCCAGGCCTGAACCTGCGTAGACTCTCCTGGCCAGGGAGTCGATCTTACGGCCCTCCTTATCCAGCAGAGCGGTGTGGCCTCTTGCCTCTCTACCCTGGGAGGACTCCACCACGACAGAGTTCGGCTTGGGGTGGTGGAGGAGGAATGGGATGTCCTCCTCCCAAACCTGGTACATGGATTCGTACCTCCGCGATGTGGGTTGAGGGTGAGAAGGCAAGTCCCAGGGTTGTGTCATCGCCTGCCGTAGGGTGGTGATCAAAGGCAGGACGATCGAGGTGGACTGCTCCCCGCGGACGACATCATAAAATTTGTCCGTCGAAGGTCCTGGACACTGCACAGCGTTGATATCCAGGGACTGGACAAGCCGGGACATCAGCTCCGTGAAGGAGACATGGGACTCGTCCAGTGACGCAGGGCCCTGGGAGGTCACAGCGACGTCGGGAGAGGTGGAATCGATGTCCGAGTCATCAGAGTCCGCGCCGTAATACAGCGGAGCCGAAGAAGAGGACTCCAC